CAAAAACCCCCACGCCCTGGCCCCACACACCCACACACACACACACACACACACACACACACACACACACACACCATGGCAGACTAATCTATAGGGCATAATAAGTCCAGTGCATATGGTCCAATGAGCCATGAAAATGTTTTCACTTATTAAAAATAACAATTTTAAGAAAATAAAATAGCAATCTGCACATATAGCAATGAATCTTCCCTGGACTATATTCATTTTTATACCAACACACTCAGAAAATATATTTTTAAATATTTTTAGGTCAGAAAGGGCCCACGAAAGCTCCAAAGCCTATGAACATTTACAATTTGGCCCCCCACTACCCCAGCTGCAGCACCCTCAGAATCTCCCACAGCACTTCCTGCAGTTCTTGTCCATTCTAACTCTTGGCATGGATCTGCACACCGGAGGAAACTTTAGTGTCTTGTTTGACAGATGTTTATTATGCGCAGCATTGGAGCCACCAGGAACACAGATGCAAAGCAAACAGCTCAGCACCACGCTCTCAGGGAATTCCCACTCAGGGACAGAAGGACTTGAGGACAAGAGTGACACTGAATTCAACTCAAGAGGTCAGGGTGGAGTCCTGAAAGCCGAGGTCAGAGCTCTCCTAGCCTGGGCTCTAAGCTCCTCAGAGGCCCAGACTCTTCCAGTGCACCCATCTTTGCCCCCAACATTGACACCAGCTCCAAGCAGCATTCATTTAATAGGTACAGTGAATGCTCAGTGTGAGCAGATTGGATGGAGCTAGCTCACTGTCTCCCCTCCCCTCAAACTGGTCCGTGTTTGGAGGCACAGCTTTGCATCAGTCAGCCTTGGCCACATAATCATGACGACTCCTGAAATGTCAAAGGTCTCACAGTCTTAAATCTTGGTGGTAACTCTTCCTTCCCTTACTCTGCAGTTTTCATGCACGGCTCCTCAAGAAGGGAAGGGCAAGTATTAACTGACAAATCTGGAAAAGCAAACCTGATCTGGTACTTACATGGACTTGTTAAAGTTTCCAACAACGCCAGGAGCCTCACCCGGAGTTGGATAACGGAAACAGGGGTTGTTGGCATTACAGATAATCCCCTGTACCCAGGGAAGAGTTCCCGCAGAAGGCATGGCTTTGTTTGGAAAGTGGCCTGTTGAAATCAAGAAAACACAGAAAAACATTAGTTCTTTGAAGTGATTTCGAGATTCCTCTCCTGTAATCCTTTCCCCCACGTGTCTGTCTCATTCCCTATGTCCCAGAAAACGCTGTCTCCTCTGAAATGACTGATCCTGAGTTAGAATCTGACATCAAATACTGGCAAAGTTTTTTCTTAATCTATTTGGCACCATCTGTAGATTGCGATGCATGACACCAGCCTTGGAGAGGTGATGAGTGGGGTAGATGAGACCATAGACACAAAGTGCATGCAGCAAGTGCTTGGTCATCAATAGCTCATCTACCTCCAGTCTCACCTCTCAGAGACACAGAAGGATTTTGGCAGTGCCCAACTCCAATTCCCTCACACTCTAAGGAAGACACCACAGTGACAGATGGAGATTCAGAGTTGTACATGACTGGGAGCAGAACCTTCATCCCCATGACCCCAGCCCAAGCCAGTTCTTTCTAGTTGCTGCTTCCATCATCATCTTGCCCTCCTCAGTCCCTTCCGATACTCTCCTTCACTGGTGAAACATTTCTTCATTTCGTCCCTTGGGACAGCCCAAAAGTTCCTCAAGGGCACCTCAAAAGCATGCTCAGTTGGGATCTAAGTTATCTGTGAAGCTCCATCTGTTTTCTTATTGTTTTGTCACATCAATAAAATGAGGTCCCATCTACCAAGTCACCCCCTCATCCTCATCTCCCTTTGTTTGGGAATTTTGTACAAACAGATTGATTGGGCATGTCTGGGCAGGGTCAGAGCTTTCAAAGGCACAGGTAGGTTTCTGCCAGGCATCCATTGGTATTGCTTATGGTAATCAAGATAAATGTATTCTGAGTCAGGGGTTCTTAACCCAGGGGCCTGTTCATATTGGGACAGAAAGGACTTGGTTCCAGATCTCAACATAGTCTCACATTTACATGGACGGTTGGCAAGCATTAAGAACCACAGTAAAGAGTACATATCTTCATAGACTTTGGGATTGAACCAACTGAGATTCACACCTTGTCTCTACCATGTGTTATGCAGTAATTTTGGCCAAGTCACAGTCCAACCTCCACCTAACCCTTCGTTTTCTCACTTGTAAAATGGTGATCAAAATACACGTGGTTATTACATGAGCTCCTATAAGCAAAGCATTTTGGTCTCATTTTTAAGGTAAGTTCTCACTCTGCAGTCCAGGCCAGACTAGAAGGTAAAGCACTACTGTACAGTGCCTAGTGTAGGAATGACTTTTATAAAATGAACAGAATTCTGCACTAAATTATAGATGAGACCTAGCTCAGGAGCACAGTTCTGGGAGACATCGGAACAAATGGGTGCCCTCTGACACAGCCCACTCTTCAAGTTAAGAGTCAGGCTGTTTATTCAGGTATAACAGTAATGTGGCATGGTAAGTACGCACAGCCTCGCACAAGACAATTAGGTCCAATTATGTTGGCTGGTGGGGCTCTGCTGCGCGTTCCAGGAGCCTCCACGTTGGGCTCCAGCTGTTGTTGTATGGCGTGGTCTCCTGGGCTGCTGGGTGGGTCTCTGGCTCTCCGCAGCTGGGAGTGCTGGCGGCTCTGCAGGTCGGCGGGCCAAGCAAGGCGCTGGCGAGTGCAGGCTCCGCGGGGGGCTGTAAGCTGCCGGGCGGGTTCTGCGCCAGCTGCGGGATGCAGCCCTCTGTGCACGTGGTCCGTTGGCCACCAAACCACGAGGGCGGGGGAGGTGCAGGAATGGCGAACACAGAATCTTCCAGAGTGAATGTTGACGGGGACAGCTCCTCTGTGGAGACTGAATCACAGGCTGGTCGCAGGCGCAGTGAGACACAGATCAGCCAAGTTCAACGATCTCAGTGATACAGCTCTGATTTATTAGGGGGAAACTAGAGAATTTATAGTGTGGTGGCAGTAGCAAAAGCCTCAGCTGATAGGTGTTCATAGAATGCCCCATTTACATGTGGTGGTGGGCTTCTATCAGGCTGTCAGACAGTGCCTGATTATTATATAGGAAAAACCTGGTAGTTTCTATGCCAGAGGTCATGTTTCCAGTAGGGCATCTGTGGCGGGCACTTCAAAGTGAGTCAGGAGGAGAGCAGGAGGTGCCCAGCTGGAAAGAGGAGTCTCTGCATCAAACGCTGAGCCCCTTAGACTATCTGGACATGGAGAGACTGCGACCCAAACAGCAGGGGTCCCCAACACAATTAGGACTTTTGGTGCATTGTGGTGAGCCTACAACAGCACTTCCTCTGCTACTGTCCATCCAGAACATTCTTCCTTCTCACAGCTCCCAGAAGGATATTCATTCATCCGTTTTAATGCAAATGTGCTAACAGAGCGTCAGTCCCCCAAGGTAACCAAAAGCAAGAATCTGCTGCACTTTTCACATCAGTGCTGGACCTTTCTAACGTTTCCTTCTCCACACACTCCTACCAAAGGAAACAGGGAAGGATACAACAAGATCTGATCCCTGAAGTCAGTCTCTGCAGGGACTCTGGCCTGTTGAACATTTACTCAGTTAATCTCTTTATCTCCCTGTTAATAGTTCAAGGAAAACAACACATGGTCCCTTGCCTAATGAGCTGCTTGCTCCTCATTCAGTAGAGATTTATGTAACCCAACCAAATACTCCAAGGACCAAGAGATTCTCCTCTTTCAAATCCTGGAGACACTGGTGCGAAGGACAGCGTGGTATAGGTCAAAGGCAGTACAGAGCAGAGATAGGGAAGGTATTTCAGACTGTCCTTCCATGGGGCAAGCAAAGACATTTTCTTGTATGCTATGCCCCATTTTATGTGCAAATATAAACAGAATGAGGACTAGGCACTGGGTACACAGGATGACAGTCAAATAACATACCAGACACCAAGGAGCCAGAGGAGTCTTTAGGACTTTGATGAATCTGAGCTGAACTAGAATTGTTTTTTCATTATTTAATTAATTTTTTAAATTTAATGTGTCTGTTTGGCCTGCATGTATGTAGATGTATCACATATATGCAATGTCTATAGAGACTAGAAGAAGGCATCAGATCCCCTGGAAATGGAGTTATGGATAGTTGTTAGCCTCCATGTGGGTCTGGGAACTGAACCAGGGTTCTCTGCAAGAGTAGCCAATGCTCTTAACCACTGAGGAATCTCTCCAGCCCATGAGCTAGAAAGATTTATGGAGAAGAATTCCATACTAGTACTTTGTTCCCAGAGTGGAGACACTCCTGCAAGCTTCACCCTAGCTTTCTACTCTCTTTCTACTGAGTCCCTAGGAAGAGGTAAGAACAGGAGGTTGAGTCTGCAATAAGCAATGGTCAGCAGGAAAAGCATTATTTGCCTTCTATACATATAAAAACTTCACAACATTTCTAAAAGCCTACTGTCTGAGTTGGAATGACCTGGGTCAGTGTTCAACAGTGTTTCTAAGATCACAACCCTGATGCAAACCAGACCTGTCTGGTGCCAGAATCTTCTGGATATCTACCACACCACCCTACCTGCTTATGAGAAAGAAGATAACATAAGGGACCAAAAAGCTGCATGTTCCCTATAACATATACCTCCAGGAGGCTCAGAGCAATGCTTAAATAAACTTGAATACACATTTGGTAATCAACCAAAAAATCTCTTTGAGAATCCAAAAGAGAAAGCAGAATTACCCCACAGGTCCAAAACTTGAATACAGATTTCATTATCTGTTCCATTCCTTTTTGATGAAATCAGAAAATCATGTCTTGGGGAATGTACTTGAGGTATGTGGATGTAATGTCCATTAGCAAACTAGTACGTAAATAACTGCTACTATGTGCTATGAAAGAGGTGGAAGGAGACCAGGGAACACAACCAAAAGGTACTTTGGCCCCAGTTCTTTTCTTGGAAGCACAGAATCCTGTAAGTTTATGGGTCTGTTGTGGGTGGAGCTGGTTAGTAGTAAGAGAAATGTGTGTGACAGAGAGCCCGAGGCCCTAGTCAGAACTCCCACAAGAATGTCAGCCTTCAGACTCGGACCTTTCTGCTATCGCTCCATCCATCCATTGAGATTATAGGATGATAATACCAGAAACAATAGTATAAGATAAGTATTACTATTCCTTTTCTATAAAGATGCTGAAATCATTTGCACAAGGTGACATGCCTGGTAAATGCCGAAGGCAGGATTCAAACCTGCATAAGCTTGTGTTCCTAGTCACTACTATATTTAGATGCTCATGGTCAAGACTGTCATCAAAACACGTGACTGAGAGCCAGATAAGACGAAATTTATTCTGCCTCTAATAGACATGTGACCTTGGGCAAGTCTTTGAAGTTATGTGAGCCCCAATTTATTACCAAGAAATTAAGTGATAATGAAGTTTAGAATCAAATTAAATATAATGTTGGTCCAACTGAGATGCTATACACAAAAGTCCCTTAAAAGTAAATGTTCCAAGCTGGGCGTGGCTTTTAATCCTGGGAGGCAGAGGCACTCAAATCTCAGTGAGATCAAGGCCAGTCTGGTCTACATAGTGAGTTCCAGGCCAGCTGGGGCTACAGGGAGACCCTGTCTCAAAAAACCAAACAAACAAAGAGCATGTGTTCCTATTTTCCCTTATGTGTTTCAATAGTTGTTTCAGGATTTACAACTATGTGATTAAAAGACAAATGAAAAGAGCACCAGGGACCAGGTGACACTGTACTGAGGCACCCCCCCCCCCTTAATGGTGACTTTTAATCACCATTTTCTGAATTCCCAGTAAGGTTATTTTATTTTTTGTGATTTAAATATGTGTGAAACAGATGTTAGCTATTAATATCATTACTATCATGCACTAGGACTGAGTCATCCCCCATCAAAAAATGTAAAGCTGAGATTTTCTGTCCCACGCCATTTGTAGTGTTTTCCTAAAGACTGCATCTTTGAAAAAGGTTAGGTTTAGTGCGTGCATGTTCACTGTCTGGATTTCACTGGCCAGTTACAAGTCTCAGGCATGATCCACAGATACTCACACTCATGTTGTTCATAAGGTGGGTAGCTCAGCCGGACAGAGATCAGGATCAGGAAGATAAATAGAGGCCAGGCCACTTCCAGTAACAGCTGACACTAAGTAGAAAATAAAACAGAACATTGTAAATTTAAAAAACCAACATGGTAGCCACTGCTACTGGAGTCTGAGAAATCCACAGGAAAAAAATCCAACAACTGATTGACTTCTTCAGACTCTCTCACCACTGTCTGAGCTTTAATTGTGTGTGACCCTCACATACCATTCTACACTCTATGCCTTCCTTAAGGCAGGGAAGAGCCTTTCCTGCTGGCCTCTTCAGGCTCACTTCTACCCAGTCTTCAAGACTCAACCATTACACCTTCAGCCTGAGCAAGAAGCCCTCCTGGGCTCCCAAGGGTTCCCCAGAACCCCAAGCATGCTCCTCTGTCTCATGCCCCTGAGCCCTGGAAACCCTGTTTCCATCACTAGCTTCCACACTGCAACCTTAGCCTCCCATGGGGGGCACTCTCACTGAACAAAACATTCTTTCAAAATATGGTTTTTAATGGCCCTTATATTCCATTCTATAAGGTGTACGTCAGTATTTGGGGCATTTTTTGTTTTATTTTGTAGTTTGTTTATTATTTATTGTTTGCTTTCCTAGTTTAAATAATTAGCTTTTAATTTTCCAGAACTTTGGTATGGCTTCATGTCAAACTCATTTTTGTATCTCCTGGAAGGAACTGAAACAAGATGACAGCTATGCCTGTTCTGGGATAAGAACATGGGCTTTTTTTTCCTTTCCTCTGTGCTCTCTATTTTCATAACAAACCACTGTTACCATAAACTATAAAGAACAGTTTGCACAAACGGTCCATCAGGACAGAAAAAGGCGGGTGGAACCCTCACCCAAAGAACACACACTAACAATAGGTCCCCAGGAACAAAGATGGGGCTAGTCTCACTGCAGATGTCTGTACATAATCCCAGAGGGAACAAACACGGAATTCTTCAAGTCTGCAAGGATGCTCTGTCTTTCCTCTTTTCCTTCATAGTAAATGTCTTATCTCACACTCCTTTTGGTGAGCCGATACACGTCTATCAAAACATCACATCTGAAATATAGGTGGCTTTTGTTTGCCAATTACACCTCAGTAAACTAGAGGGAGGGGGAGAAAGGCATTTCCTTTTTGCCAGAGAACACAGCCTGAACACCTTGGACTCTGAAAATCAACTCTACCAGTGACACTGGGGCCCTTCCTCCACGTCCCCAGCTAGTCTGTCTTTATCAGCACCTGCCATGCAGTATCCTATTTATATGAGCTCCACCTACCTGTTACCTTCTTCTTATGAAGTCTGCCAGAAGACGAGGGCTACAAAAACGTGTTATTAAATAAAAGAATGAGCTGAGTTTTATAAAATAAGGAAGATGAAAACATAAATCAGTGCAGGCCCTTTGGGAAAAGTTTGGCAATATGCATTCAAAAGCCATGCTGCTTCCCTCTGACCAAGTAATACTCTTGGGAATTCATCCAAAGGAACAAATTTTTTTAAAAAATTAAAAAGCTATATACATGAAACGTATTCATTCACTGAAATGTTATCATTGTAAAATACTGTAAACAACCTAACTGCACAGCAATAGGGAAAAATAAATTATGGCACTTCTACTAGGCAATAGATTATGCAGTCATTACAACAGTGTTTATGAAACACAGACAGCACTTAACCAGAAAAAGAAGACACATCACATCCACATAAAACCTAGCAAATATTAATTAGCTAAGATAGGAATAAAGCTTTTTTTTTAAATGGCATAACTGCAAATGAATTTAGAGAAGAATAAAGAGCCCTGAAAACAGTAAAATTGAACAAAGAATATACATAAGCAGTCATTTACCTTGAGGCTCTGAGGCTACCACATGAACTTACAGGACAAATGGCAGCTCCCATTCATGGGGAGTCCTGCATGCACTATTGTATATGCTTGACTTCCTCTAATCCTCAGAAATCAGTGTGGTGGGAACCATCACTGTTTCCATTTTAAATTGAAAAGGGTACAGCTCAAGGAAGAGTGAGTCACAGAGGTAGTCAGCGGCAGGGCTGAGGTGAACGGCCACTTTTACACACTTCCAGCAGTCACACGGACTTCTACCTGACACGGCAGGCGTCTCCGGTAGGAAAAACCTCCCTACACAGCATGGACTAAAACTGTCTATAGGTCCCCCAGGCAGAAGATGGTGCTACAACCTGTAGCTGGATAACGGTTGCAACTAATATTGCACATCTTTGTGTGCCTAGGAATTTTTGAACCTCTCATGTCCAATATTTAATTCACAATAATCTTGTTAGGTAAGTTGCAACAATACCATTTTAGAAGTGATGAACAGAGGCTCAGGCAAGTTATGAGCTATTGGAATTCAAATCTAGAGATGCCTGAATTTGAGCTTTTGTACCTGCCATGCCACCTCACAGAGCATGCTGGAGGCACACATCTTTTTACATATCACATGCCTCGTAAGTGGAACCCAGCACCTGCCAGCCCTGCAGGGCACGGATCTGAGCCAGTAATCAAGCCTTATGTTTCTGAACATCTCTCAAGTCCCACACTCCGGACTCTGTAGAATGGCAGATGCTCAAATTATGTTGGTCAATGAAAGAATGAATGGATCTTCCCCACAGCAAAGCAATACAGAGAAGATCCTATGTGGCATATTCAGAAGGTATCGCACTGTGTGTAAACAGGTCAGAGAAAGAGGATTAAGATAACTGATGATGACAATTATAACAGCTAACACTTACCTAAGTGCTTTATGTATAGTAACTCATTTCAGAGTCGAACAACCGAATTAGTCCTATTACTGTAATACTCACTTTACAGATGAGGAAACTGAGGCTCAAATAGCTAACAACCTGCTCAAGAATACTGGTAGATGAGAGAGCTTGGATTCAAAGCCAATCTGACTTAAGGATCCCTTCTTAGTAACTATACACTCCTGTTTCCTTAAGCCCCATACCCTCACCATGACCAGTGTATCCTGACCTTCCAAAGACTCTGCTGAGCTGAGACACTAACAAGAATGAACGAATACAGACACTGACCCTGCAACATGCACACTACACAAATCAGAGAATTCACAAGAGATAGAATCTAATTGTTTCCTTTTACCTTGTTTCACTAAAAGTATTTTTCTGACTGAACATCAAACGTACTTCCCAGGCCCAGGAGAATTTTCTGTGTGTTTCTTTTCCGGATACTCTCCCTCCAGAAACCAAACTTGACTTCCGCAGGAATGCTACTCTGGATTTAGTCATTGTCAAGTTCGATTTCTCCTCCATCTCCAACCTCACCATCTGCTCTAAGCATAAGGCCCCGATAAAATAGCTTAGGGAAAAAGGTTCAGCTTTTACCATTAATAAGTTCCTACAGAAAACTCTTCAAAGACTTGCTTGGGTACCTTACCCAATGCCACATCTTCCCTCTAGAGTGGGCATCATGGAAAATGGTGTTTCAAAAAGTGATCCCCACCAAAGTCGAAGTTGCCTGTGGAATCTCAAAGCACACTTGGCACTTCCCACCTCCTAATTCTTCAGCTCCAACCTGGGGACACAGGAACAAGTACCTCTTAGCTTCTCAGCAATGGTACCTTCAGCCTTGGGGGTCAGACACGTGTGATGGGATAATCTCCTACAAACTGTGCCATGTTTGACAGCATGTCTGGCCTCTACCTCTAGATACCAACAACACAGACACATCCAGGATTGTGTCAACCAAAAATTTCCCCACACACTACCAAATGTCCCAGGGTAGGGGTAGGCATTGCCCTCAGCTGAGAAGTACTGATAGCTGTTCTAAGAAACAAGTGGTACTTCATGTAAAAGGTGTAGCACAGGCCTGGCTCATCAGGATCGCTACTATCAAAATGTTTGATGGGCACCAAACCATTCTGAGTTTTCATTTCGGACTGTGCCCAAATTCTACACACTGCAGATGCTCACTATGCACTTGGGTTTTCAGATCTAACTTTTGTTCCTGGTGGCAGAAGAGTTAATATACCACAGTCCAGTCACCCTGTGAGTGTATTTATCGATCTAGCCTAAGGACACAGTAGCTATGCTCTTAAATTCTAAAGATTTATCCTTATTAACTCAAGACTGGGATGGGGTGAGAGCCATGTTTAAAGAACACATGGAATAAAGTGGAATAAAAGGACTGGAATAAACTTTGGCCTTGGGCAAGAATCTTTTGAATAACAGTAATCAAAAAAATTCATTTTGTGTTTCAAAAAGGAAGTCACTATCTCTTAGCACTATGCTGAAGACGCTTGAGATTCCAATGGGGCATAAAAAAGAATCAAAAAGAATAAACATCAGAAACAAAGATGAAAATACCCTTTCTATTTATAGCACAGTCGCAAACCTAGAAAACCTGACAGAACGAACTAAAAGACACAAATAAATTGAAAACGTGGTAAATTAATCAGAACCAAGGTAAATTCTCCTAGATAAGAGCATTGCTATAGGCCTGTAATAATCAGCTAAGTTAATATAAGGTAGAGAGAAGAACATTGTTAACAGTAAGAACAGGCATTAAAAAAAAACTTAGGCATCTATTTAATGCCAAGTACATATTTCTTTTTTTTTAATTTTTATGTGTAACTGCATATTGCCTGCATGTATATAAATGCATCTGTGTCATGCAGTGCCCATGGAGGTCAGAAGGGGGCTTCAGATTCCCCTGGAACTGGAGTTATGCATGGTTGTTAGCTGCCATATGGGTGCTAGGAACCAAACCTGGATCCTCTGCAAAAGCAGTCAATGCTCTTAACCACTGAGCCATCTCTCCAATCCTCAAAGTACATATTTCTTGCATAAAAGAAAACCATACATCCTTAGAGGACATAGATTAATGAGAGCTAAGTCATACTTCTTGACAAAAACATCCAGTATAACCAATTAACCACACTGTTATAGATTTAACTTAATTTTACTTAAAATCGAGAAATACTGTGTTTTCTACAGGAAAGCAAAACATGGATTCTTATATTTACAGACAATGGGGTACTTTTGAAAACTTCATAATGTAGACAGAGCCAATGGGAAAAAGAAATGGATG